CAGAGCGTTAGACTCCAGAACTCCCAGGCCAAGCTGGGCCCCTGGAGGAATTGGCAGTAAGATGTTCCTAGTGCAGGAGCCCTCCCCGAGGGGCTGGCCCCACCCTCTAGACTGTGGCATCATCTCCCCCACCTGGAGTCTAGGAAAGTTGACTAAAAGGACAGTCTGGCTGATGAGTAAGACTTTAGGGCCACATTCCTATCAGCGTGACTTCGGGTTAGTCTTCTCCCTGCCCCAGTTTCCTCTCCCTTTTACAAATGTGAGTCTCTAGTAACTATCTCAAGCTTTCAGGGGTGTTCTCTTCCCATCGCCTACATTAAACCCTCCAGTGACATGCACTTGAGGCAACAGAAGAGGGTTTAAATGCCCAGGAGTGTTACGGTTTATTTGTCGATGCAACGTGAAGCTAAGGCACAGTACGGCTGCTTCCAAAAACTTGAGGAACAGCGGAGGACTGGAGAAGCAAGCCTTTTTCAGGCCCATGGCCCCCGGTCGCATTTTTGGCTGTGGACTGGGCCTCAGACCCTAGCCCCAGTAGACCCAAGGCTGTGTGGAAGAGGTTGACAGGAGTGGAGCCGTCAGTGATGAGGGTTGATTTCAGACCCAGGCTCTGGAGCAGTTTTACCTGGAGGGAGCAAGAAGTTTGACCATGGTCCCTTCCCTCATCCCCTTGGCCACTTCTCTAGGGCAGGGGCCATCCGTTTTGGTCTGACACTGTAGCTGCCACCAAAATCATCCTCGTAGGATTAATCAGAGAGCATAACGGGAGCCTGAGGGTTTCATTCTCAGGGCCTAGAAGGCCTGAAAGATCTGGCCCCACCTGCAGCTGCCTCTAGCAGCTCACTATTCGACCCTTCGCTTGCCAGTTCTTTATGTTCCTTAAATGCACCAAGGTTCATTCGCTTTGCGTCTTTGCACTTGGACCCTCTCCTGGAAAGCTCCTGTCAACTCTACATAGAGCTCAAGTAAACCCTCTTCAGAGTGACCCTCTTTAGACCAACTAATTTGAAATGTCACTTCCTCTCACCGTATCACCCCACTTGTCTTTCTTCAAAGCACTTCTCACACTGATGTCCCATCTGTTTGTTTTGTCCTCAGAAGCTCTAGCTCACCGTCGAGTCTAGTACAGTGCCCTATGTGACACCACTCTCAACTGATACAGGTCAGGACACAGGATACAGGACAGTTCTGTCACCCCTCTGTCTCCAGCGTCTCTCTAGATGTATTTGCCTCCCCAGCTCTGCCTTCTTGGTTCCAAGTATGGTCCCAACACACACACACATCCCCCTGTACGCTCACCTGCATCTCTGGCCCTGCCACGGCAAGGTCCCTGATGGTGCTGGGGCCCAGGGCCTCCGTCATCAGCTTGAACTTCTTCACCTCCACCTCAGCCAGCTGCTGGGCCTTACTCACCTCCAGCTCCAGCTGGGCCCGAGCATAGACCAGTTCTAGCTCTCGCACTTTCTGGACCCGCTGAAGCTCAGCCTCCTGTAAGCGGAAACCCAGCATTCTGTCAATAGTGTTGCCCCTGGGGACTATCCAGCAAACTTCCTAGCCAGCAAGCTGGAGAAAACTGAGGTGGAAGGGCTGGAATTTAAACTTATAGTCAGTTAGGTGAGAATCTTGGCTGTGCCACCTTTCAAATAGCAACCCATGGGAGCCCCTTAAACCAAGCCTCAATTCCCTCATCTGTAAAATGGAATGATATCTACCTTAATGGGGTTTCAAGAATTAAATAAGATCATGCATGTAAAACAAGCAATACCTGGCACAAAGCTGGCCAGTGTTTGAGCATGTATTACATGTAAGATGTGTGTAATAATCATCTTTACCTTTCAGGCAGGTATTAGGTGAATTGATAGAGGGAAATGACCTTATGAACCACAAAATATTTGAATAGGGTTGTTTGTTAGGGTACTTGGCATCCTACTCAGCTTCAGGGACTGCAGGGATTAAGCCTCTTGCAGACCCCAAGGCCACATCCTTCCACGGGCACCTCCCCTACTCACCGTCTCAATGGCCAAGGCCTCTGCCTTCAACTTAGCCTGCAGCACAGAGCCTTGTCCCTCAATGCGTGCTGCCTCTGCGCGGGACTCGGCCTCCGCCTTGGCGGTCCCAGTGCTCTCCACAGCAGTGCTGCAGGGATTGGCAGGGTCAGGAGAAACCCAGGAGAGAGCCCCGCCCTGCCTTTCTCTGGCCTTAACTTATGCTGTAGCAGCTTTCACACGCACACACCCCTGTCTTCAGTCAGCTGTTTTGCCAAGACCCTCAGCAGGTGACGGGCCAACTTTTCCTCTAGTTCTTGACCCACCTCAGAGCCTCCAGCTCCAAGAGTTCTCTGCGAGCTTTCTCAGCTTCTGACTGGTCCAAGATCTTCTGCCTCTCAAGGCGGCCACGGGCTTCTTGTTCTAGTCTCTGAGCCTCATGCCTGGATGGGAAAGGGGACAGGGAAGATGCTGGTGTGGCGCCAGAGCTGGGGTGCCCAGGACAGAGGTGCCCCGGCCCATGGGAGGCGCTTATTATGCAAACAGAAGAATGGTGTGTGTGCTGCAAGCCTGGAACGATTCTAGGCTCAGGGGAACCTGGTCATGACTGAGGCCCCTGCTTTCACAAAACGTACTTTCCAGTGGGGAAAAACAAGTCAATGAAGATGATTTCAAACCATAACAAGTTCCCTGAAAAGGGGAGACCCGATAATGACTTGGCAAAGAGGGTGCTGCTTCAGTTGGGGTAGAAAGAAAAGGGATCTCCAAGGAGGTGACCTTTGGGCTGAGGCCAGAGAAGCCTGCCCTAAAGCATCCAGGGGCACAATACCCTGGGTAGAGGGAGCAGACAGTGCAGAAGGGTTTAAGGTGGGAACCCAACTGTGAATTTGAGAAGCAGAAAGCAGCTGGTGGACCTGGAGCATGTGAGCCTGAGGAGGAGGCTGGAAGGTGAGATGTAGGAGGCAGGGCTGGACCCCAGAGTGCCTAGAAGACCACGGAAATGAGTTAGGTTCTAGCAAGAGCAAGGTGAGAAGCCACAGGAGCAGGATGGCATCTAGTCACATAGTCCCACTTCGAGTAGGCTATCTGCTGGGTAAGAATAACAGCAGACTGACCGTCAGGGGATGCCACGTTACCCAGGGCCCAGCAGTGGGCTGGAGATGGGGACCCTGGAGATGTCTAGCCCTCAGTGAACACTGTGGGCAGCTGCCCTCACTCACCTGGCAGCTGCCTCCTGGGAGTTGGTGGTGATCTCAATGGCCAGCTGGACGCTGCGCTGCAGGGCGTCCCGGGTCCTCTGGTCCACAGGCTCTACTGACTGCACATCTACGCTGCTAACCACCAGTCCGTTTTGGGGGAAGATGGCCCGGTCCCGGGCCTGGGGCAGGGCCTCACCATTGGGCCCCTTGGCTTCCAGGGTCTCAAAGCCAAAGACGGCAGTGCGAATGATGCGGGCTGAGTTCTTATGGAAGTCATCGAAGGTGACGGAGGCCACGGCCCCCCGTACCCGGGATGCAATGGCCTTGCAGGCATCACCCACGAAGTCGGGCACCGAAAAGAGCTTAGCCGCCTCTTGGGGGTCCTTCCGGTCACGCAGCTCAAAATGCCTGTGAGCAAAGAGGCCCAGAACAGGGAAGCGTTTTCCTCCAGGAAACGACTCATCTTCAAACAGGACTCCCACAGCCACACTCCGTGGCGCAGCAGGGTCTCTCATGATAGAAAATACGGATTAGTGTCCCCATGTGCCAGGTGAGGTCCTAAGAAACTTACACGTGTTCTCATCTCATTCTCTCAGCCACCCTACGAGGTAGGGAGCAGCACTGTCCCTGTTTTACAGATGAGGAAATAGATGTCCAGAGAGGTTAAGTGAGTCATACAGTAAGTGGCAAGCCAGAAAATTGAGACCAGGAACTACGGCAACAGGGTCTATGCTCTTAGTTGTCATGCTGTAGTGCCCCAAAGATGTCAGTGCCCCATCTGCCTCTGTCATGGTCCTAGCCACTCAGCCAAGAGGTGAGGAAGTTGGAAATTGTCGAGTACTGCTTGTGGATGTGACTTATCTTCCCTAATTCTAGTTGCTGGCATTCGAGCTCTAGCTATGTACAGGGCCTTGTTCTGATTTTCACTGCATTCTTTAGATGGCCTATAAAATTGATGGCCATGGTCATCATCATTTACAGATGGGGAAAGTGCCAAGTCACCTGCCACAGGTAGCAAACAGCAGGGCTGGGTGCAGACTCAGGGAGGTGGCCCCAGAGCTTGTGCTCTTGCCCACTTCCAGCCCTCCCACCAGGTGTGTCTCATCAAGCTTTTTATAACCTTGCAGTTATATGTTTGGCTGAACACACACTGGGCGTTTAGCTGGGGAGTATCCTATTGTGTCCCCCAAATCCTGCTCCCAGGAGATGAGCCTACATCTTCCCTGGGGCATCAGACTGGATTTGCAGGAACCCCTGGGTGTCCTTCTTGACCACGGCACAGAGTCAGGCATCCCACCCGCATTCTGAGCCCAGCACTCCAAGGAGGCCTCTTGCATTCTCAGGGTCCTCCAGGGGTTGCCCCAGCAGCAGCCTCACCACCTTCTCCCCACCCCTTACCAATTGTAGGCAAGCTGTAGCTGCAGCCTGGCATGATCTGCGGTTTCGATGGTGATGACGTCTGTGAAGAAGTCAGGACCGAGCAGCAGGCAGAGTGCCCGGCGGGCGTGGGGACGCTTGGGCCGCCCGGCCGAGAGGGACAACACCGTGAACTGTTCTTCAGGACCCAGCGACACCAGCTCGGGCCCAAACACCACGCTGCAGAGGGAGCCAGGAGTCAGACACCTGGAGAGCCTCTCTCGCTGCCACCCCCTCCTCCGGGGGAAGCTCCTCACCGAGCTCTCTTCTCTCTGTAGTCATACACCTGCACGGCAGCGTTGTGAGGGACGCGGTAGCTGACTACGCGGGTCTTGTTCCGGGGAAGAGAGGGCTGAAGGGTCTTGCTCATCGCCTTCTCACCCCTGTCCGCCAGAGGGTCTTGCCCCTTGTTCAGTAGCTCCTCTACCCCAGGAGGCAGCTCTTTCTCCCACAGGACCTCGTCCTGCGTCAGCATGTAGGTGCTTCCAATCACAGCACGCACCTGAAGAGAGACGAGTAAGGAGAAATGTTACCAGGATGGTAAAACTCACCCAGCAGTCCTGAAGCAGAACTGGTCGGGGGTAGCGGAGCATCCTGGTTAAACAAGGTCTCTAGAATGAGGATGCATTAAAGTTCTCCATCTGCTGGCTCTGTCACCTTGGGCAAGCCACTTTGTCTCTGTGCTTCAGTTCCTCATCTGCAAAATGGACCCAGTACAGGATACCTCATAGGGTTGAGGAATGAATGACATCTCACACGTCTAGTGCTGAGAATTTGGCATATAGTAAGTGCTTGATATTTCTTCTGGAATTTTCCTTCATGGGACACCTCAGAGGGTGTCCAAGGGACAGATGCAACCCTAGGAAATAGGCAGTATACACTAACACTGCCTGGACTCTGAGCTATACTTTTAGGTTGTATTCTTAGAGAAAGAGGTCAGAGATGTGGTCATAAGTCAAACCAAGGTCAAGGTTTCAGGTGAGAGGGCAAAGAGGAAGGATTCCACCAGGATAAGGGCATGGGGGAGGAGGTCAGTCCTTACTGTTCCTATGCCATACCCCAGTCAGACCTTTATGCCAGGGGCCAGATCTGCAGTGGAAATGGAGTCCCCATCCTAAAACCTGGCTCACCGTCTCCCTTGGGGGGTTTTCTAGAATTTGAAGTTAGATATTAAGACAAAGGGAAGGCAAATACTCCACAGAATGCCTTCATACCTACCAGCCGGCTGCCTTGGCTGCTACTGTCAATGCTGAAGTCCCCTCCCTGCCTCCACCACATTCCTTTCTCCATCTCACCCAGAGTAAGCCACTACCATGGCCACATGGCAGTGACGGTGCCTATCCCTCAGCTGTTACCTTTCCGGTCTTGACATCCTGCACGTAGATGCCCTCATTCTCGTTCAGGGGGATGGCCTGTGCCCTTCTTTTCCCCCCCCCCCCTTGGCAGACGGCACATACTCCAGGGGTCCACGGATGAGCCAGTGATCACCGGCCTGGTGTGAGACTCTCTCCTCGTCTTCCCCCTCCTCCAAGGGCTGCAGGGCCCTTAGCAACAGCCCTTGCTGCTCTGACAGCACATATACGTCCTGGATGCCTCGTTCCAGCCTCTCTCCTGGTTGCAGGAAAAAAGACTTCTCTCCCTAGTGGGGAGACATGGGGTTAGGAGCAGTTCCCACTCAGGGTTGCAGTGCCTCTGACCGCACCTCCCCTAGCTCCATGTGGCCATGGGCTTGTATTGAGGACAGGAACCCAAAAAGCACCCTTCCTATCCCCACATTGTAATACAGTGAAGTGCTGTCTGGACCATGAGGCTCTCTACAAATGCCTACAGATCTCATCTGGTCAAACCTACTCTTAAAAGATCCTGTGAACTGTTAGCACCTGGATCCTCACAAGCTCAATAGTTAAGAACTAACCTATTGTTACTCTTAATTTCTCCCATGTTTTGTTTTCTTGTGATAGTTTAGTCTGGGCATCGGCAAATCCTGGTCTTTGGGCCAAATCTGGCTTGCTGCCTTTTAAAAAATGTGTGTGTGTGTATTATACATATAACATATATATTTGAGATATAATCCGCATGCCATAAAACTTATCCATTTAAAGTATATAATTCAGTTGTTTTAGTATACCCATAGAGTTATCCCACCGTCACCACTATTGAATCCCAGAACATTTTCATCACTCTGAAAAGAAACCCTGTACTGTCCACCCCTACCCCCGACAAACCACTAATCTATTTTCTGTTTCTATGGATTTATCTATTCAGGACATATCACAAACAGAATCATACAATATGGGGCATTTCATGTCTGGCTTCTTTTGCTTGGCATGATTAAATTTATCCATGTTGTAGCATGTATTGGTACATGCTAATTGTCAGTACATGAACTTTGGTTCACGTTCGATTTTTTAAAGCTGAATGATATTCCATTGTATGGATTCACCACAATTTTTATTCATTCATCAACTGATTGATATTTGGGTGTTCCGGTTTTTCATGCCTGTTTCTACAAATAAAACATTACAGGAACACAGTGGCACTCGTTCGGTCACCAGCTGCCTAAGCTGCTCTCACAGCGTGACAGCATACGCTCACAAAGCCCAAAACATTGACGGTCTGGCCCTTTATAGTAAAAGTTTGCAGACCCCTCCTAGTCCCATGGATAGTTCAGAGAAGGGATGAGGTAGGGATGGGGAGAAGGGTAAATCAAGAGATTTACTTTATGCATAATGAAAAATAAGCAGAAATATGAGAGTGTCTCCAGGCCTGCAACACAGGGCAGGGCCAGAGAGGAGGAGCTCCCAGAAGAGGCCTCAAGCGAGTGACCTGAGGTCAGGGGCTGCCCGGGAGATTGATGGGTCAGCGTCTCAGAGCCAGCACCTAGTGTGCGAAGGCACAGGGGAAGCTGTGCCAAGGTCGGCATTTCCAGAACACATACCTGGGGTGGCAGGAGAGAAGGGAGAGAGGTCCGAGGGCCTCATGCCATTCAAGGGCACTCACCCTCCAGGGGAGGTGGAGGCACTTACCTTGACCACACGCTTTTGTCCCAGTTGGTTCTTGCCATCCGGTCCAACTGGGTCGAGAATAACACAGTAGTTACGGGGGCCCAAGGTGGTGATGGGCACGACCCCCAGCACCTCCTCATAGACATCTGGCACATGGGCCTCCGTGTCCTGCACCGTCACCAGCCACTCCTCCCCAGTACGGTGCACCACTCCCCTCAGGTCTCGGAAGTTCTGCCGAGCCCGGAGGTGCAGGGCTGTCTGCAGAGCAAGACATTGGCGTGTTTGAGTAAACCCACCTCCAACATCCTCAGGGGACCTGGGAACCCCACTGGCCACCAAATGCTCAGCTCTCAGTGACAGTTTCCATTAACCCAGGACGACTTTTTAACCCTGATGACTCAGGATACTCTTCAGGTTATCTGACCTCCAACTTTTTCTTTTAGTGGCCCTAGAAATAGTGCTTCTCTTTTACGCTCATGTATCTGCCACCACCTCCGCCACTCTTAGCATTCTTTTCCCCATGGTCCCTTAACCCACATCCTCCACAACACAAACCTTTTCTGTAAGGATCACAGCATCCACCAAATCCAGAACCTCTTCAAACACCGCCGGGAGATATGCACCCACAGAGCGGACCAGCCATTCTTCTCCTGGGCCAAGGGCAGAGAGGTAGGAGTCAAAGGTCACCCAAGCCTGCTCCCCAGCTGCTCCTTCCCGAAGCCTAGACAAGAGGACACCTGCAGGACTTTTGTAGGCGAGGAGGTGTCACTACCCCAAGCTCAAGGGCCTGACAGGAGTCCTTGTAGTTATTCCTATCTTTGAGGCTAGATCAAAACTAACCCCGCTGAGAATACAAAAACTCTTCTAAGTGTTCAAGTTGTTGCTATGCCAATACCTGCTATGACTACTCTATGCTCCGAAGACCAACTTTTTTCCTTCTCATAAAATGCAGACTGCCATTATTAGAGTCATAGATGTCTTTTAGATTATTAGAGAAGCAAGAATGCTTGGGTACTAGTTCCAGCCTTGCCCTTTCTGGCCGTAAACTCAGACAAATAACCTAATTTCTGTGCTTCAGCTTTGTTACACTGAAAATGGGAATAGTAGTGACTCTGGCTTGTTTGAGGACTAAATAAGTTATTCGTAAAGCATTCTGAACCACACTTGGCACACAGTAAGCACTTCATTTAAGACACTGTTTAATACATCACATTTTTAAAATATAATTGCCAACTGCATGTGAACACCTGCTTTGCTGATTTAGAAACAGACATGGTCTCTGCCCCCAGCTCACGGTAAAGGGTAGGAAGAGGGAAAAGACATGTCAACATGATCATGATCACAGGATTAGGCCCAGAAAAGCACCACGTGAAGGTGGGTGGGGGAGTAGCTTATGAGATTCTCGGGAAGCACTTCCTCCCAGGCTGCAGCCACTTGTAAGGGCTTTCCCTGACCTTCCCCCCAACAACTCCTCCCCTACTCTCCCCCACTCCCCGGGGAAGCATGGCCTTCCCACTGCCCTCAGGGCCCCTCTGAAAACCCACCTGTCACCCTCTCCTTGTTGTCCCGGTCCTGGCACTCCTTACGAGCCCTCAGGCGCAGAGCCTGGTTCTGCCTGATGATTGTGGCCTGAATGATCTCTCCTTCCCGAAGCCTAGACAAGAGGACACCTGCAGGACTTTTGCAGGTGAGGAGGTGTCACTACCCCAAGCTCAAGGCCCTGACAGGAGTCCTTGTAGTTATTCCTATCTTTGAGGCTAGATCAAAACTAACCCCGCTGAGGAGAATACAAAAACTCTTCTAAGTGTTCAAGTTGTTGCTATGCCAATACCTGCTATGACTACTCTATGCTCCGAAGACCAACTTTTTTCCTTCTCATAAAATGCAGACTGCCATTATTAGAGTCATAGATGTCTTTTAGATTATTAGAGAAGCAAGAATGCTTGGGTACTAGTTCCAGCCTTGCCCTTTCTGGCCGTAAACTCAGACAAATAACCTAATTTCTGTGCTTCAGCTTTGTTACACTGAAAATGGGAATAGTAGTGACTCTGGCTTGTTTGAGGACTAAATAAGTTATTTGTAAAGCATTCTGAACCACACTTGGCACACAGTAAGCACTTCATTTAAGACACTGTTTAATACATCACATTTTTAAAATATAATTGCCAACTGCATGTGAACACCTGCTTTGCTGATTTAGAAACAGACATGGTCTCTGCCCCCAGCTCACGGTAAAGGGTAGGAAGAGGGAAAAGACATGTCAACATGATCATGATCACAGGATTAGGCCCAGAAAAGCACCACGTGAAGGTGGGTGGGGGAGTAGCTTATGAGATTCTCGGGAAGCACTTCCTCCCAGGCTGCAGCCACTTGTAAGGGCTTTCCCTGACCTTCCCCCCAACAACTCCTCCCCTACTCTCCCCCACTCCCCGGGGAAGCATGGCCTTCCCACTGCCCTCAGGGCCCCTCTGAAACCCCACCTGTCACCCTCTCCTTGTTGTCCCGGTCCTGGCACTCCTTACGAGCCCTCAGGCGCAGAGCCTGGTTCTGCCTGATGATCGTGGCCTGAATGATCTCTACAACTTCCACCTCCTTCTGGGGGATATACGTGCCTTGGAAGGGAAAATAATGTGAACGTCAGAAAATATCAGGGCTATGATGGGAAGGCAGGAAACCTCTGACCCTGATGCCGGCCCAATGGAAAGAACTTACCTGGTCCTTCAAATAGCCACTCATCTCCTGCAACTACCTTGTCTCCACTGTTATTCTCAAAATCCAGCAATGCCTTAAGATGAAGAGCAGTGTTGGGCAGAACGACTTGAAGTGGGGTGATGTCCTAATAGGGAAGAAGGGACATTGAGTGCTCTCTCTCCAAGAGTCAAACTTGATGCCTTGGAGGTCAGAGCCCACGGCATCAATTTTTACATATGTCCCAAAATAAGACCCAGAGTGGAATGTATAGGTTAGGGGTAGTCCCAAAGCCATCTTGTCTGAAGACAGGGCTGACAGAGCAAGAGGATGAGCCGAGAGGACACACATTCCTCTGCATGAAGTGCTCAGAAGTTTACGCAGAAAACTGGGTAGAGGGCTTGATGACAGATGTGGGAGAAATATCTGGGAAGCTGAATGAATATCTCAAGTCCTAGTGTACACTGGGGCCCTCTAGGAAGCAAAAAGAGGTGGGAAGGTGCAAACTGCTAGAACAGGCACATTTTAAGAAGATGACTTTTTTTCAAGGTTTCCTCGTGGTCACAATACAGCCATTATATTCCAGTCATCTCATCTCCTGCCATCAGGAAGGGGGACCTGGCAACAGGTAGCCAAACCTTTTAGAAGTCTGTAGAGGTGTTTCTATAAATAGGACTTCACTTGATCTTTGATGTGAGGGAGGCAGGAAAGCGAGGAAAGAGAGGCTCATAGAGGCTAAGGGACACAACCAAGGTCATACAACTAGTAAGGAACAGAATCAGGCTTGAGCTTTAGTCTTTAGTGTAGCCTACCTATTGCTCCTTACTCCAAGGCCCTGAGGCAGAGAAGGTCAAATAACTGTTCTACTCACTGATCACACACTGGATTGGAGAGAGGCAGGGCTGGAGGTTTACTGCCCACGCAAGCCCTTCCCTGTACACACTACATGTGCATGGCACTCGGCTGGTTGTGAAGTGCCATGGAGTTTAAGTTCTAGCAGGTTTATGATAAAACAGACTATTCTCTCCAAGCAGACTGTGGACAGTGTCAAGGGAGGGAGGATGCAGAAGTTCAGATGAAGGAAAAGTTAGGGAAGGCCCTCAGAAAGTGGTGTTTGAATTGGGAATCAAAGAGTGAGCTGCCTTTTGATATAAGGGTGTGAGAGGAGGAGGAGAAGGTAAGCATTATGGAAAGAGCATGTAATCCAGTGTGTTTTTTCACCTCCCACATCTACTCTATCACTACTTCCTACCTGTTCCATCACAATTCCAGTCTACCTTTACCTATCCCTGCCATTGCCCTCACCTAAGCCGCCAACATCTCTCGTCTAGATGACGGCAATATCTTCCCAACTGGTCTCCTGGCCACCACCTTTGTTTTGTTCCAGTTTACCCATCAAGTCTTTTTAGGCAGACTTCCAGCTTGGGTGTCTGGGTCCCCAGTAGTGTCATCAAGTAAGATTGGAAATATGGGAGAACAGATCTGGGGGTCAGAGGAAGTGTTAGTTTGGATGTCCAGTATGAGGTGGCTGTAGGACATCCAGGAGAAGGCTTCCTAAAGGCAGTTAGGGGCCTCCCAGCTAAGGTACAGGGGTGGGTGTCTTCGTCAAAGTACTCAAAGTAGTCAAGGCCACAAGAGCATGAGAGGGCACAGAGGTGGTTCGGGACAGAAACTGAAGGGTGAGAGGGCAGGGAGGAGGGGAGACAACTAAGAAAATGGAAAAATGATATCAACAGTCGAAAACATAAAGACATGTTTTAATAAGAGAGATCAACAATGGATGAGGTTGAGAGGAACTGCGAGACACAGAACAATGTCCAGTGGGCCTGCAGTTTGTATGTCTTGGGTCTTTGTCAAAGTGAGGTGGGGTCAGGGGCCAGATGAAGGGGTTTGTGAGGGTATAGAGCAGAGAACATCAAGCGTAAGTTGTCATCAAAGAATAAGCAGGAAATATAAAGCTGTAAATAGCTAGGAATTAGATTCAAGGGGCATAAAAGCACAAATTTAGCATGCATATCCTGGGACCTAGCTAGCAATTCTTATGTTTCTACTGTTAAAAAAAAAAAAAGCTAGCATGCATAAGGTCACACAGATAAGGATATTCATTGCAGCACTGTTTTTCTTTATAAATTGAAAACATCCTAAATGATACCCAGTAGGGAAATGGCTAAACTTCTATCCATCATATAGAATTACATATAATTAAACAAGATATGACTTATGTACCAAGATGCAGATGTTCACTCAAAAGACACTGGCAAATGACAATGTGATAGCTCTTATGCAAATAGGTTATAATCAGTCCTTTTTTTTTTGATACAAACTAATGTGAATGCATAGACATATCTGGACGTGTATACCTTGAATGGACGGTAGTAGATAACTCTGGGGAACAGAGAGCAGATATTGGTGGTGGAAGTCAGGGAGGACTTTACAGCCTCACGAATTCATTCTTTAGAATGAAAAGCTTACACAAGTAAGCCTTTAAGGCCAGAATAGGATGGAAGAGGCAGAGCATGTTGATTGGCCAAGAGAAGGATATTAGCAGTGGAGAAATAAAAGACATGAGAAGCTCTAGGTGAGGAACAAGATCTCAAGAGACAGAAGATGAGTCTTTCTGGGTCCATCTGATGGAGGGGAACCTCCTGGAGGCTCCAACAGGTAGAAAGGAGATCAGAGTAGGCACAAAGGGAAGGGGACACAGATCCAGATTCTGCCAGATGGCCTCAACTTCTAAGTAGGTGACCGAGTTGTTTAAAAGAGGGTGGAAAATAGGAAGAGAGTGGAGAATGATAAATATTTAAAAGCATACAGAGAGAAAGCTGTTTGGGAAGGAGAGAATTGATGAGCAGGGCCTGGATTGGAATGAACCACTTGACTTATTACCTATTTACAATACTGTTGTGGTGGTGGAGCTGTCAACTGAGCTAGGAAACGCCTCCTGGGTATGAACACAGAAAGGGCAGGTGCGGGTAATGCCAACCCAGGATTATGCCGTACGTCCAGCACACAAGAGAGCACAAGAAATGTTAAAATGAGGTTCAGCTGGGACAGGAAAGCGAGGCCAGGAAAAGAATCTGGGGTCAAAGGCCTGAGGGGACAGGGCTAGGAGGAGGAGGGCTAGGAAAGGGAGACCGGAGTAATTTCAGAGGTGGAATAGTTGGGAGAATGACCATGGCCAGACTGGACATGGCGCTGAGCAGGTCTGAAGTGGAACAGAGGGGCAATAGCAGAGTGGAGGTCACGAAGGCCAAGCTGTTACAGGGTCATTGCAAGGATATTAAATGAGGCTCCTAGGAGGACAGGAAGGTGGGGGAAGGGAGGTCCAAGCCAGGTGCCACCCTCTTTAAAGACAGGAAAGGAAGTGGTACAGACAGAGGCAAATGCTGACTCTCTGGTGAGAAAGTGGCATTGGGATCTGAGGACGGAGAAGCCAGCCCTCCTGGCTTGGAGCACGTGGGGTTTGAGTGAATGAGCTGCTGTGGGCTGGGAAGCAGAGGTTACAGAGGCAGGGATGAGGAAAACTTTCTCTTCACCCTAGGAAGTTTTTAAATACTAGTACCCAACAACCCCCCACCGCTCCCCACCTAGAGGGGGATTTAGTTGGTCTGAGGTAGGCCCTGGATATGGGTGACTTTTAACTTTTGACAGTTCCAGACTTAAATAAAAGTTATTCTAATGCAAAGAACACCCCTACACAGTTCACTCAGATTCCTCAAGGGGTAACATTCTAATCATTCTTCATCACTTTCTATCTCTACACACACACTTCTGCAAAGTGGCTGCATCTACTGGACAGGAATTCTCAAGGTTCCTGGGTCACGCTGTTATGCCTCCAGGATCAAGCACTGCTTAGCAGAGAACCCAGAGTGACACAGTATAGAAGTGCAAGGAGGTGAAGACAAAAGAACAGTTACGGAAACAAAGCTGGAATGCTCACTTGCACAGGCCTAGGACCTGAGTGTGACAAGAACAAGGACGTGGCTGCAAGTGCAGGTCTCCAGTGCCTTCCCATGGAAAAATCACAGGCATCTGAGCCCAGGTCTCATCTTGTCCACCATTGCTGTCACTGCCCAGCAGAATCTGGCACTGTTTGAGTTAATAAAATGCTTACTCTTGGCACAAGTCATTCAGTGCCAGACTGGCCAGGAGCTTCCAACAGGTTGTAGAGCCTGGCTGATTACATGGTGAGATGGGCAGACAGCTTGCAAAGGAGGGGCCAGTCTGTTATGAGCATGTGAGGAGGAAGAGGGAATTTGGGGAATGTGAGTGGAGGGGCAATGAGTCAATTCTGTCTCTGGCAAAAACCAGGAAATGTTGCCCCACCCCCTCCCGTGGCCCCATTTTTTTCCCCCCAGAAGGTAGTGTGGAGCCCTAGGACAAGGTGGCACAACAGGTAGAGTGTGGTATAGGGGAGGCAAGACAGATACCTTTTCCAGTACCTCCCCTGGGTACAGGGGGAAGGGGTCCTGGGCCAGCCGGATCTCTAGGTCAGCGTGGCGGAGCCGTACTTGCCCTGTGACATCGAGCAGCACTGAGCCCTGGGCATCCCGAGACACTGGGTTGGCCACAGTGCAGTAGTGGCGTGGGGGGACAGTCACCATGTGCACAGGGGCAAACAGGACCCTGTTGGAGGGTGAGAAATGGTGTGAGAACCCACGGGATCCCCACTTCCACCCTCAAAGGAGACAGTGAAAGGGAGAGAAAGGTCCTTGTCACCCAAGTGAGGGCCAATCCAAGGGAGAAATAGACAATCGTGCCAGCCAGATTAACAGGCCCTCCCGAGCCCCAGGTCCCCCATAGCCCAGCCCCGACACCAACCTCTCATTGTCCTGCCGGATGTAGGTATTTGGCCCAACCTCCACACGGGACACATTGCTGTTCTGGTCTAGCACATGGATGTAGTGGTATGGAGGGATTCGGATGATGGACTCTTCGGTTGCCATAGTAACTTCTGAGCCCAGGGCAGCATATAGTGACAGGTGGGGAGAAGGTAAAGATGAACACAGGGGGTGTGGGATCAGGCAGGCATGAGCCAGAAAAGTGGCTGGGAATGGTGGAATGAATCCTTCCCCCTCCAATTCAGATTGTTTCACCTTTCACCATTCTCACGCCCACCTCTTCCTTTCTTCTTCCCATCCAGGCAGCACAGCCCATCCAGGCCTACCTCCGCCAAGAACTGCCCGACAGTTAACCATAGAAGCCCAGGTCTCTGGGCTGTTCCTTTCTCTCATTTCCATCAGCTTTTACCTCCTGGAGCTGCCTGCAGCACTGGAAGGAGCTTTAGATCAACACTTTCCCAATCTCCAACCCCCATGGTGTAGAAGCTGAGAGGACAGATCAATCTGGAGGTGCTATGGCCTTCTCCAGTACAGTGGGGAGCAATGGCTCCTTCTGGAGTAGGCAGCCTGAAGTATTCAAACATTAGCTCATAGCCCAAGAATATCTGCATGATCTTTGTCTGTGGCCCCCCGACCCCTATGCTTTAAGTAGTCCTGGGATGAACTGTTCAGACGTGAGCACCTCTCAAGGAAGGGATCCCTGACAGAACTGTTGCTCCTGTAGAATCAGCTGAATTAGAAACAGCACAAATTATTCTATTTCTTTCCTCTCCTTTCTCTGTTGCCACTCTTGGCTCCATGCTGTCAAGGGTGGGGGTGGATAAAAGGGGGTCAATGAGCCCTGTATTGCACCCACCCCATCCTATCTGCTTTTGAATCTAGGACTTGGCCTGTTCAGGAATGTTACACCTACCTAAACCCCATCCGTGTCTCCCGTGTGCCTTGGACTTTGGAAAGCATGTGCCTGAGCCACACAAAGGGCATCAAGTTTACTAAGCCACTCAAAGCCTTGTCCTCAGACTTTGGTCAAACATTTCTGAAGTTACCAGAAAGGGGTGGCACCTCACCTACTCCATCATTCATCCAACTTCCAACCTGAGTTAAAAATGGGAAGGAGGAAGGAGAATTGGCACAGGAAAAACAGGCAGGAGACGTGACATTACAGAATCAAGGTGAGGCCCAACAGTTTTACTTGATCTACATAAACTATAAAACTTCAATTTGGGGGTTTAGAAACAGGAAATTTTCACCAACTCCAAGTTCCTGCTTTTCTTAAAGATTCAGGAAGCGGGCCCTACATTCTCACATAGCAAAACTGGCTAGAACCAAGCAGGAGCTGCGCCCTCCAGATGGGACCCGAGCCTTCCTGCTCACCAGTCTCCACCGCTCCCTGTTGTCTAACACTGGGCTGTTGTTCTCACATCGCATGCTGGGCTGCTGTTTAGGACCCGCTACCTCAGTAGCACTCAATAGGACTTTCTATGATGATGGAAATGTTCCAAGTCTGTGCTGTCTTTGGACAGGCCACATGTGGCTAGTGAATACTTGAAAATATGGCTTAGTGTAACTGAGGAACTTAATTTAAAATTTTAATAGCCAAGTGTGGCTGGTTGATCCCATATTAAAAAGTGTAGCTCTAAGCAGCCGAGTCTCAGAAAGGGATGAGTCATTCAAAGCCACACAGCAAGTTAGGAGAGTCCCGATAGGATGCTTAGTCCAGTCCCTCCAGTGGCAGCGCCCTGCAGTGGTTAGGGGCACAGATTCGGACACTATCTGGGCTTCCTTACAATTCAGATCTGCTGCTTTTTTGCTCTTAATGTCTTGTTTCCTTAATGTCTTACCTCATTTTGGAAGAGGTTACAATTTTGATGTTTTCGTGGTACACTTTCATCCACAGCAGAAGGATGTTATTCTGCTCATTCTTTTATATTGCAACTTTGTATGGAATTTGACCTCGATACTTTTCTGTTGTTCCTTATATGAATTTCCCTTAACTTGTAGGAGTGGCTTTTGTAAAACCAGGGCTCCCTCCTCTGTTGATTTTAGGTAGTACTTGAAAATGACTGGCTTTCTGCTTCTGTTCCTCTTCTCACTCTTATCTGGTCTGTCTCTTTTCTTCCTCTTTACTGCCATATCCTGACCAGCTGTGCTTGTACTCCCCAAAGCTGCTCCCTGACGTAGGACTGCCTGGATCCTGGTTCCAACCCTTACTGGATGGGTGATCTTAGACAAGTCCCTTGCCCTCCCTATACCTGTTTCCTAACCAATAAACAGGATAGAGCATCTACCCAAGTTATGAGGACTAAGTTAATCATAAGGAACTTAGAACAGAGCCTGGTTCCTCAGAAGCACTGTGTCTTACTGCCAGGGCAAGGAATGGCCCGAGACTCAGCTCCCCTGTCCATTTAGGGCATGTGACCTAGCACCAGAGGCTCCATATCCCACCTGGAATCTCAGCCTCAACCTTCATTTGTTTACTGGTCAGGAAGGTGGCAAGCCTTGTGTCTCCCCAGCTGTGGGGCTAGAAGCATAGCAGAGAAGGGGTATCTGGTAGCCAGATGAAGTCTTTTTTTAGCTGTTCCTTTGCCAGATTCTCTGCAGGGTGGAAGCCTGGCCAGAAAGCCAGATGGGAGGAGAGGAAGAGCTAGGGTTGTAGGCGGAGGTGTGAACAGGGCTCTGTGAGGCCCCACAGGGAAGATTTGATCTCTAGAAGGCCACACAAGGCTGGGAAGCAGGCTCTAAGAGCCTCCAATGGCTCCTTGTTGGATGATCCCCACCCCTTATGGCCGAGGCCTCTCCACCATCTGTCATCCCAGCTGGGCCCAGGCTGAGAGCCTCGCCCAGCTCAGTGACTCAGCTGAGAGTCATACTTATAGCTGATCAAGCTGGGCTCCTGCCTTGTTCTAAGGCCAAGCCCTTGCCAACTACCCTTGTTTCAGGACTAGGATCCTGTCTTATAAACCTGACCTCCCATCCACCATGCTCTAAAGCTGTATTTTCCACCTGGACCACCTGCCAAAAACAGGCTTTACATTTTCACTCTCACCAACTAGAAAAGTGAGTTTCAATATAGGGCCTCTCAGGAGATCTGGGGAAACCATCTAAGGCAGTATGTTTGTGGCGAGTTTCAGATTTAGATTTTTGTAGTTTACCAGATGACATGTACAGTTAGAGCATTTTATTTCCAATGTATCAAGGCCCTCAAAAGTCAATGGTTCAGGATTGTGCTGACTTTGAGAAGGTCTTGCTCAGACTTGGGTTTGGCCCCAGCTCCCCAGATCCACCAGACCTCTTTTCAGTGCCTGCTTCTGAGATCTGCTCCATAGTCTGCTCTTGGGGCACAGACCCAGACATGCCTGATCACATGTCCCTCAAGTGTCATGAGGCTCCTGTAAGAACCAGTCCATTTTCACCCCAAATCTCAGAGACCAGCAGTTCCCTGGTACACAGCACTCTCCCCCCCAACACAAAATGGAGGGGATAATAGGTACATGAGCAGAGAACAAAATATCCTGTAAGAAGCTGGGTTCATTATCTAGTTACGAGGCAGCTCTTCACCTGTATGTTGGCTCGAAAGTAAACTTATGCTACAGCAAAATTTAATGAGTCACAAGTCACTACGTGTATCTTCAGAGTTAAGTGACTAACAGTGAATTTTAAACAGACTTATCTATCTATCTATCTATCTATCTATCTATATGCATACATACATATGTACATACATATACATATATTTATGTATGTGTGTATATATATATTTTAATGGTACATACTGCTTTGTCACTTAACATTGTATTGTGAACATTAAATATTCTCCTACCATGTCATCATAGGGCTGCACTGTATTCTTTAGTGTGGATATAGCATGTAGAAATAGATGTACTGATTTGGAAAGCTCATCTACTGCTGGTTGTGGTCCTTAGGCTGGAATGTGTCGGAATGCTGACCCTGAGGTTCTGTAGCAGGGCAGATACTGCAGGGTGAATGTTGAATTTGGTCAGAAATTACATTTGTGTGATAAAATGATCACTTGTTCCCTGGGCCACCACTCTCCTGGAGATAATTTGCATGAAGCTCATTTACTGTTTCCCTAGGAGGGGGGCTCAGCTTGAGCATCCATGGGAGGAAAGTAGCCAGATGAAGTCTTTTTTTAGCTGTTCCTTTGCCAGATTCTCTGCAGGGTGGAAGCCTGGCCAGAAAGCCAGATGGGAGGAGAGGAAGAGCTAGGGTTGTAGGCGGAGGTGTGAACAGGGCTCTGTGAGGCCCCACAGGGAAGATTTGATCTCTAGAAGGCCACACAAGGCTGGGAAGCAGGCTCTAAGAGCCTCCAATGGCTCCTTGTTGGATGATCCCCACCCCTTATGGCCGAGGCCTCTCCACCATCTGTCATCCCAGCTGGGCCCAGGCTGAGAGCCTCGCCCAGCTCAGTGACTCAGCTGAGAGTCATACTTATAGCTGATCAAGCTGGGCTCCTGCCTTGTTCTAAGGCCAAGCCCTTGCCAACTACCCTTGTTTCAGGACTAGGATCCTGTCTTATAAACCTGACCTCCCATCCACCATGCTCTAAAGCTGTATTTTCCACCTGGACCACCTGCCAAAAACAGGCTTTACATTTTCACTCTCACCAACTAGAAAAGTGAGTTTCAATATAGGGCCTCTCAGGAGATCTGGGGAAACCATCTAAGGCAGTATGTTTGTGGCGAGTTTCAGATTTAGATTTTTGTAGTTTACCAGATGACATGTACAGTTAGAGCATTTTATTTCCAATGTATCAAGGCCCTCAAAAGTCAATGGTTCAGGATTGTGCTGACTTTGAGAAGGTCTTGCTCAGACTTGGGTTTGGCCCCAGCTCCCCAGATCCACCAGACCTCTTTTCAGTGCCTGCTTCTGAGATCTGCTCCATAGTCTGCTCTTGGGGCACAGACCCAGACATGCCTGATCACATGTCCCTCAAGTGTCATGAGGCTCCTGTAAGAACCAGTCCATTTTCACCCCAAATCTCAGAGACCAGCAGTTCCCTGGTACACAGCACTCTCCCCCCCAACACAAAATGGAGGGGATAATAGGTACATGAGCAGAGAACAAAATATCCTGTAAGAAGCTGGGTTCATTATCTAGTTACGAGGCAGCTCTTCACCTGTATGTTGGCTCGAAAGTAAACTTATGCTACAGCAAAATTTAATGAGTCACAAGTCACTACGTGTATCTTCAGAGTTAAGTGACTAACAGTGAATTTTAAACAGCATGTGCCCAAGTGACCAGCCACACTGTGCATTGGTCTGCAGTGAGCAGGAGTATAGGCCTCACTGGGAAGCTGTGCATAACACAGAATCTTGGGCCCCACTCGAGCTGCTGAAATCAGTTGGTATCTTAACTAAACCCCAGTGATTTGGGTACACATTAAAGTATGAAGAGCTCTGGTCTAAAGCAGCCAGTCTCAACCATTACTGTACATTAGAATCACCTGGAAATCTTTCAAAACTACCCATCTCTGGGGATTCTAATTTAAATGGCCTGGGATGGGATCTAAGCATTGCTATATTTAAAAGCTCTCCCGCTGACTCAAATATATAGCGAGATGAGTTCTGTCACTGCTGGCATGATTTTAGGCCACTTGCTAGTCTCTGAGCTTTACTCTCCCAGATTGTGTAGTGAGAATGAAAGTGACTATTTCCTGGGTTTAGAGACTAGACATTAGAGAATTTTAGAGGGTTTAGAGAACGGAGTATGTCTAGGAGGAGGAACAAAGATGAGCTCAGATTACAAACTGCTGCTCAAGGGCAAGGAATTTTATTCTCCCTCAGCCTGTTCACTACCAGGGCCAAGTCGTCCCCTAGCCAACACAAGCCCCCTTGTCCCAAGTCCTGGGCTATTGGTCCAGGCAGGCCTGAAGCTGGAGTTGAGGTCAGTGACTCAGCCTTGCCACAATCAGCTCTATCAAACTTAGGTTAAGAAACTGGATGTCGAGTTCAGCATAAACAGGCAACAGGCACTCATCTGCATAGTTTTCTTTCACTGATTTCAAACATTCTAGTCTTTGTTTGGAGAACACAAGGGTCACATTACTCAGGCATTGTAGAGAGGCTGTTTTCTCTAGACAGCTTCCCTGTTTAGGAAAATTATTTCCTGCTTTAGGGGACTACAGTAGAAATTCCTGAGGATTTGTCTAACGTAAATCACTTTTTAGCAGCAAAATTTTAGGAACTTTTCTTCCTAAGAAAATCTCATCTGAGCTCCAGCCCAAATGAGATACTTCGTAGGAGGAGGAGCAGCTCTGCCAGCTCAGGATGCTTCTTATCCTACCTCCATCTGACCTCCCGGATGCTGCCAATTAATGTCAATCATTGAAGATGAGGGCTGCCTAGATTAGAAGTGACCCAGGAACTGGGCTTCAGAACCCCTGATCCAGATCAATGTTTTCTAAACTCATCTAGTTATAGGATTCAGCTGGGAGTGCTCCGAGGCCTCACCCCAGACCCACTGGGCCCAGGTTTCCAGGAGAGACTCTGGAACTCGTATCTTCCGCAAGTGCCCCAATAACAGCTCCCACTTATGCAGAACTTAACCTGTGCCAGGCATTGTGTTAAGTACCATTAATTAACTCATTTAATCCTCATAAGAACCTAGAAATTAAAGAACTTGTTCAGGATCACATGATCAAAGGCCGAAGCCAGAATTCCACCCCAGGTACCTAGACTGAAGAGCTCCCAAACCAGGAGGCAGCTGGCTTCTCAGGCACAAATGTCTGTGAGATTCTAAACCTAGGATTTGGGTGGGGCTGGTTACTTTCCAGGAGATAGAACCAATGGTAGTTCAAAGGTGAGCATTTTCTGCAACTTGAGAGAATAGCAGTCAACAAGAAGGCATGAGTTACCAGGAAGCCCTTAGGCTGTCCTTGAGCCACCCAATCAAGGTGGGTGCCCCACCTGCTCAGGGCTTTGGAGAGCTGCTCTGCCCAGAAAGCACTACCCGAAGGCAGGCTGGGTAACCTGTGTGTCAAGGGCAGAGACAGGCAGGAGTTTCCAGGGAGTCAACTGGCATCCCTGACAGCCGGCCTTTCCCCCATAACCCAGGGGTTCACCCAGGCAGGGATTAGGAGAACCCCAGGGACATCTGCTTCAACTACCATCCCCCACCCCTCCATGCTTCACCCCCAAGATCAGAGATCCAGAATTTCAGACTAGTGGACCCACATGAACTTCCTGTTTTCCACTTCCCCCTTAAAGAGAGAGAGAAAAAACCCTTGCTCATCAAACTCCACACCTTCTGGAAATCAAGCCTGCCTTAAGATCACTGTTCATGACTTCTCAAATGATCTGCAAGGCCCACAGTTGGCACAGCACTGAGTGGGGCAGTATAAAACCCTCAATATTTGACAGAGTTGTTAAATCTCAGTGGGGTCAAATCATATTCTAAGAGCTCAAGGGGGACAGGCCAGAGCTCAAGGCCTCAAGGAAGGGGATGAGTACAGTAGGACCCAACCTAAGTCTAGGAAGGAGTCTGAATGGATCCTTTAAGTTTCCTGTTCTTACATCTGATGTGGGAGGTTGAAGTTGGAAGAGGCCTGAGGGGTATTGGCAAGGTGACAGATTGAGTTACCCTTCAAAAGACAGAGAAACTCCAACAAGGAAAGCAAAACCTCCCAAGGCCAAGCCTCCATCCACCTTCTCCCCTCTTTGCTTCAGAGAGGTCTTGCCTGCCCCAGAAGGCCCTAGAAGGCAGGACAGGGTTAGAAAGAACCTTGAGGAAAACAAAGTCCCACCACTTACTCGGGGCTTTGGGGCCAGTAAGAAGTACTCACATCCAGAAGTGTGGCTGACTGCAAGACTCCTCAGACGGGGGAAACTCCCGCACCCAGCCCAAGGCATCACTTCCCGGCAGGGAGGGCAGGCTTGGGGGTGGAGCTTGGGCATTTAAAGGGCCCCGTGCAGCTGGATCTCGTTTTCTCCTCTGGGCGGCTTTCACTGCAGCTGAAGGAACTGCAGCTCATTCAGCGCTCAAGAATTCCTGCCTCAGACAGAGCCAGTTGGCCTCACTGGAAAAAGACTGGGAAAGGTCAGAGGGCCTAAGGCAGGTGCTGATTGAGTTCACCTCTGCTCTATGAGGCTTTAATTTCCCAGTCTGGGTGAAGACAATTCTTCCTTTCCACAACTGTTTGGGCTCCAGCTGCACTGCAGCCCCTCCATTAAGAGAAGATAACTTCGTATATTTTATTTCAGATTCAGAAAATTCAGCCCAGGTCTCCAAATAGATGTTCAACAGAAAACACACACACACACATATGCCTGCTTTCTGGCAAGGTGCTGTGTTGGGAGCTTGGAGTTTCTCTACTCTTCCCAAGTTTCTCAGTGCCCTGGGTTAAGGAAGGAGGGCCAAGGCCCAGGCAGGTACACATCCTGCACCCTAAGGCAGCAGCAGTCAGTATTTCCGCTGCCGGGGGAAGAGGCTACTCCCTGAGGACCGGAGTGGGGGGCTGGTGGGGCTAGGGTCCTCTGAGTCCAGGCTGAAGAGGTCCCTGCCAGTACGAAGGATCTGCTCCTCCAGCTTCTTGTGTCGCTTCATGTCCGAGAGGACCTTGTCCAGGCGGGCCTCCCGTTTCTGGCTCCGGGCTGAGCTTCCTGGAGAAGAGGAAAGTGAGCAATGTGGAATGGAATGAGGCAGTGTACACTTGCCTGGATGTTACCAATTACTTGGGGAGCTTACTAAACATTCAGATTTCAAGGCCTCTCTCATGGAGGTTCTGAGGTTGGACTTCAGATGGGGTGGGAAGTAAAGGTCTGAATTATGAGAAGGCACCAGTGATGTGAAGACCAGGAAAGAACATCTCAGGCAGTGGAAAAGCAATTGCAAAGGCCCCAGAGTAGGAATAGGGAGGTCTGTTCAAAGAGGAGTGTAGAGAGCTGGGAAGATGTGAAAGACAAAGCCAAAGAAATAACATGCAGGCCATGACAAATGGTTTGGATTTCTTATTTTAAATAGAAATACTTTTGGAAATCTGGGTAGGGGGTTGGAGTCTCTGTCAACATGCTCTCTTCCCTCACCCCAGCAATGGAATGCTTTGGAGGATTTTAAACAGAAGTAAAATGACAGGATTTATGTTTTAAAAGGATCATTCCAGTTGCTAAGACTTGGAAGCAGGAAGACCAGTTAGGAGCTACTGTAACTATCCAGGCAAGAGAGATGGTGGCTTGGATGAGGGAATGGTGTTGAAGGTGGAGAGTAGCAGATGAACTTGGAAATGTTGTAGAGGCAGAATGAACAGGACTTGCTGCTACTCGATTGAAGGTTAGAGTGAGAGAAAATGAAATCAAGAATGGCTCCAAGGGTAAATTATAGGAAGGCATATGGGGTGCAAAGTGGGTCAGATTAGGAGATGTACATAGTAATAGAGGAATATAGTCTAGATAATGAATGACCAGGAAAACTTGGACTTCTGGGGAGATGGAGATAAAAGGAATGGGAAGCATGTTAAAATTATGTGACATTCTTTTAAAGACAGGGTATCAGTTCAAGCTGAAAGGATGGCATCACTGTGTGATTACTCTTTCCTGCATCTACAAATTGTGTAGCAACCAAGGTACCAAGCAAAGGCCTCTTTTAGGGAGTCACTTTTTGGGTAAGTGGGAGCAGAGGCTCTTTTACCTCCCCCCCAACTTTTCCCTGTTGTCTGTACCTGGGGTGCGTCTCCGGTCAATCAGGGAGTCCTTTGGTGTCATTGGCTCATCATCAAAGTCAAATTCTGTGGGCATGCGGGGTCTGGAACAGGTGGACAGAAATTGAAGGGTGAGGGTGGTCTCCCCAAACACCCAAACAAGTGCTTCTCCTCAGCTGCCAGCTTTTTCTCTCCTGCTCTCTTCCCTCCCTCCACTTTCCATGCTCCTGGGTCCCATCTTCCCTCCCTATTTCCTCTTGGCATCTGCGTAGCAGCCCCAGGGACAAGGTGTAAAGGTGTGCCCTCACTTTTCCTCTTCCTCCTCTTTGGTCTCTGGCTCCTCATCGGATCTCTCCTCTTCACTCTGGGCCTCAGGCGTGGGTGGCCGGCGGGGCAGGATCTCGGCCTGAAGTTCCAAGGTACCGTGGGCAGCCAGCAGCTCATAGAGCCGCTGGATTTCGGAGGGAGGCGGCATCCAGGCCTGCCCATCCACGGGCAGCTCCACCTCCTCATCGCTGCAGGGCACGTACCAGTCCTCGGATTCTCCCTTGGCATGTTCTTCCCCCTCAGTGCTGGGGGCTTCTCCTTGTACCTCCGCAGCCCCAGACCCCTCAAGCTCGGCCTCCTCCCGGCCTCCTCCCCCCTCTTCCTCGGCTTTATTGACCGAAGCCGAGGGGCCTCCGGTATCCCCTACGGCCAGAGCTTGGAGGCCGGAGGTCACTTCCCCTTCTTCAGACAGAGGCGCCGTCGTGGTGGCCGCAATGTCTCCATGACCCCGGACAAGGGACATAAGCCACTAGGGAAGGAGCCTTGCGATTATGGGAGAGGTAGGAGTACTATATTGGGGATTCCTTGGGCCCCCAAGGGATTGGGCTTCCCAGGGGTTTAGGGATGTTGCTCCAACCAATCAGGCTCCAGCACTGGTACCTGCGACCAAACCGCCCGTTCCTCGGAGCGGGCGCTCGGTCCCCTCCAAGGACCCCGCCCCACAGATCGAGATCCAGTACTCCAATGTTCCCAGCGACCGGCAGAAACCACTTTCCGAGCCGGATCGTCTTTTCTCGCCTTCACACCGCCCCTCTCCACACCCCGCGATTCCGCCACCTCGGCCGCCGTACGCACCTGGAGCCAAGACCCGCCTCCCAGACGGCACAGGGTCACGGTACGCAGGCGCATAGCGATTGCGCGGAAGGCTCCGCTCTAGTAACAGATACTTGGAAGAGGAAAGCAAGGGATGACTCGCACATGCGCAAATAGACGCTCAGGTATTACAGGCTGAGACCCACAGTAAAGATGGCCGCCAGAACGGCGCAGGCGCGTATACCCAGTAGGTTCTGCCCCGAAGAGGCGGTACCACGGGACCCGCAGCGAACCGACGTGAGAACCAACTGAGGCGGGACGCCAGGCTCATGCAGTCTCCGTTTATTGGTGTTTCAGACTCATGCAGCATCCGGCATACAAAAAGGGAGAATCTGTTTGATGTATCTTTTTTTTTTTTTTAGACTTTTAGTTTTTTAACCCCCCACGCGATTTTTTTTTTTTTTTTTTTTTTTAAAAAAAAAAACCCCCCCACCCCCGAATTCGCGCGGCGC